ATAAGACCAATTTGGGTGTTATCGGGTATTAAGGTTAAGAAACTTGTTATCCTTTTGTTCCTGTAACATATCATAAGAAAACACTAGCTATACCTCTAGGAGCTAGTTTGGATCTATTGTGAGATAATGTGGAAGCATAACATAGAGATCCAAACATCCTATGATTAGAATAACTAGGTGGCTTGTTATGTAACAGTCCATGTGGTCTTTTATTTGCTAATAAAGGAGAAGAAAGTTGATTAATAAGATCAACATAGTGAGCTACAACATGATGCCAAAAAATAGATTGTAAATGGGCTTGGAACAGTAAAGCTTGAGTCATAGCAAGTAGGTGTTGGTGCTTGCGTTCGACTATCCCATTTTATTGGGATGTTTGAGCGCAATATGTTGATGCAATATTCCTTTTTCATAGTAAAACTCTCTATATAGGAATTCCTTACCATTATCAGTTCAAATTGATTATATTTTTCTGTCAAACTATGTTAAAATAAAACTATAGAAAGAGAGTAATAAGGGTCTGACTTTTGGCTTAGACTTCATGAGGAAAACAATGTATGTCTAGAATAATCATCGACTACAGTAATGAAGTATAAGTGGCGTGAAGTAGAGGGAAAAAAAGTTGTACCCCATTATCAATATGTAAGAGATCAAAGCATTGAGATATAACAGACGTACTATTAGGGAATGATAAACATTTCTACTTGTCACAAGGGTAGACATGATAATGAAAATGTTTATTAATAGTGATGGTAGAATTTAAGGAATGAAGAAAAGCTATTTTAGAAGGAGGTAGGTGTCCTAAACGATAATGCCAGAGATCAAAGTTGGAACTTTGTACAAGTGGAGAGTTCTTGAGAGAGTTGGAAGTATGTAGGTAAGTAGGGGTAGAGTTGTAGGGTCCAGTCGATATAATCCATAAGTGAGATTAGCCATATCAATCGTCCTCGAGGATTAGAGGTCTTGTATCAAACAACGAGAACCAACAATGATCAGTCAAAGAGGAACCCTGGCTACCAATTTTCTTACAGATACTAAGTTGAAGGTAAATTTCGGGACCAGAAGGACATCAAACAATCGAAGAGATGACAAAAGATTGCACTTTCATATGCGTGTGACTAAGACTCTATTTCCATTAGGAAGATAAACATACATAGGAGGAATAGTCTTTAGTTATCAAGATATTTAATAGAATAAACAATATGGTCCACAACACTGGTGTATAGGATCCATTTAGGTGATGTATTAACTAGCATACAAGTGTTTTGGAGAATAGTGACCTGACCTGTTGGTGTAGGGTGCACTTGAATGGAAATGGAACAAGCCTGGCTGACTGGTGGAGGACCATGAGGAACTGGGAAGTATGATGCAACTGTAGGATTGTTGTAGGCAAAAGTGGGATGTGATGAAGTTGGATGTTTAGTCATATCAGAGTACTAGGACTGCTGTTGGAAGTACTAAGACTTCATGAATTGTGCCATATTTTGGCAAGCCTCTTGTCTCTCGCTTCTTTCCTGATGCTGGAATGGTAGTGCAGGGGGAATAGAGACTTTTGTGTCTTCTGAAGAACCATACAGTGTGCCTCGATCTTGCATTTATATCCAGGAGGGAAACCATGTATCTTGAAGCATTTTTCTATCGCATGGCCATAGATGCCACAATGAGTCGATTACTACCATTCTGAGATTATTGAGGCTTAGTAGAGGGAGGATGTTATAGGAATCTTGGTGGGGGTAAAACACTAGGTCCTACCAGGAGGGTAGTACCTAGAATACATGGCGATAGACGCAACTAAGGATGGTTGAGCTCGGGATACAGTTTTTTTTCTTGCTTAGTGATCATAGCAAAAGCTTGATTCAAACTAGGCATAGGATTCATAAGAATGATTTGCAATCTTGCCGCACAAAAATTATCATTCATCCCTAACAAGCTAAGCACGTAATTGACTTGATGATTTTTTCTAACAATGGCTAAACCACAATTGCAGATTCCATTGCATATACATGGGGCAATTGGAAAAAAATGTCTAGCTCATGCATCAAGGTCGTCATCTGAGTGAAGTATGCATTATAGACTGAGATCCTTGTTTGTATCGAAAGAGGTCTTCCTGAAGCTCGCAATGTGAAAGCTGTTGCCCCGAGAGAAGCGTTGTGCAATTCGTTCTAGACTAGCAAGGCATATTTGAACCACTGGAATCCTCGAGCAATTGATGGAGAAACGGATCAAAGAATCCATCCAAAGAGAAGAGTATTGTTTATTGACCACACACAGAAGAGAGGATTGTCAGATGCTTACTCCGCAAGTTTGGCACATTTTGTCAATGTTGATGATCGAAAGATATATGGGATGAAAACTCATGATTGTCATGTGTTCTTGGGGAGGTTATTAATGTTGGCCGCCCGTGACTTATTTCTGAAGGTCATATCGGATACATTGATTGAGCTTTACAAATTTTTCAATGACATAGGTTCCAAGGAGCTAAACGTGGAAGATTTGGATAACTTGGAGTCTCAAATTGCCATAATCCTACTTAAGTTAGAATGTATTTTTTCTCACGGTATGGGAGGCCGTCACGGTTGAGGTGGCATCTTCACGGTATGGGAGGCCGTGAACTCCTGGATTCCAGCGTCATCTACGGCTGTCCTATAAAAAAAATTGAAATCAAAGTTAGAACAAAGAAGATAAGAGCCGATTAAAAAAAGTAAGGAATATAAAATACTTTTAATTCACAACATTTAAATTTGGATTTTTTGGGTCAACTTAAATTCAAAGGTCCATATTTAGTTATTCATGAGTGAGTAGCCAATGGATACTGACCTTGAGCCGGATTAGCCCGTCTTATGGCGTTCATATAGGTCTACATCGCTCGATTATTCAATCCACAAACAAACGGACTTGTTGGGCTTTCAAAGTTGTCTGTTTCTACGGTAGCAAATGTTTTCCTCCTTCCTACCTTCTTTGGGGGTTCTAACTTTGTTGCTGGTTATTGAAATTAAACGTGGAAGATTTGAATAACTTGGAGTCTCAAATTGCCATAATCCTATGTAAGTTGGAATGTATTTTTTTCTCCTGCCTTATTCGATATAATGATCCACTTGCCCCTTCATATGCCTTGGGAGGCCAAAGTTGTTGGTCCAGTTCAGTATCGATAGATGTATCCTATTGAAAGATACGATATATAATTACACTATATTGATTTTATATACGCACATTTTAGAAACTTTATGAAGTTAATTTGACATCTTTTTAAACAATTTAGGTATTTGAAGAAGTTAAAAGGTTACGTAGGTAACAAGGCACGTCTAGAGGGATAATTGGCTGAAGCTTACATTGTCGACGAATTTGTCACATTTTGCTCTTAATATTTGACTAGAATAGATACTATCTTTAATCGGCAAGAGAGAAATGTAGATAAATCTGCATCGTCGTCGCAACCAGCTCATGAATTATCAGTTGTTCCGGTGTCGGTCGTGCCATTGGTTTGAAGGACGACATGAGAGACTACAATACTGATTTGTGTAAGGCAACATCTTCTTATGTTCTACAAAACTGTGATAAGGTGTAAGATTTTATAAGGTACATATACATACCAAGAAGACAATGTTTTAATTGATGATCCTGGGGAGATGATCTCATAAACTGGACTAGAGTAGGGTTCAAAGATTAAGTAGACTAATTTTTTCTTTGTAGATCAAGATATATGTTACCTAATTTCTATTTTTTATAGAAAAGTGTTAAGCATATGTGTTTTTTATCGATTCAATAATCATTTCTAGAAAATGTCATGCTTGTCCGATTTTCATAATTGTCTCCCAATAATTTCTTCTGAAGAAAAAAATGTATACGGTAATTAATATTTTAAGAAAGGTTTCAATTTTGTACTAACGAAATTTTTATGGCGTAAAAATTGTTTTTTTCCCGACGAAAACTGACTAGTTGTTTTTGTATTAGTTAGTAATGATGATTATTTCTGAAAGAAAAAAAAAAAGAAATCCGAATTAGAAGGAATAAGATAAGAGTCGATTAATAAAACTAGAGAATATAAATATTTTAAATTTACAACCGTTAGATCTGTATTTTTTGGATCAACTTAAATTCAAAGGTACATATTTATAAGTTATTCATGAATGAGTAACTAATGGATACTGACCTTATCTTAAGTCGGATTAGCCCATCTTATTATGGCGTGCATATACGTCGGCATCGCTCAATTATTCAATCCACAAACAAAGGGACTTGTTGGGGTCTCAAAGTTGTCTGTTTCTGCGGTAGCAAATGTTTTCCTCCTTCCTACCTGCTTTGGGGTTGTAACTTTGTTGCAGGTTATTGAAACTAAATGGACATTTTCTTGTCTCTTTTCCTGGACTGTATGTATTTAGGGATTGGTGGTACGAAAGCCTTCTTGAAGTTGACGGTCAGTGGGGAAGGAAAGAGCAGTGACGTCTGTCGCTCGCGTTCCGTTGCAACTATGCGTTACAACTTTGGAAACCATATATACCGGACTAATCTATATAAATCCACCGCATGATCGTTATGACCAACCAACAAGGAAAACAAATAAAACATGGATAAGAAACTCGCCACTAATCTATCTCTCGTCCTTGTAGCGACGATCGCAATATTGGGCACTGTATGCACACCGAAAGCAAATGCTCGTAGCAATAGCAACCACTCCCCCTCCCCACAGGGCACCATCTTTCGCGACGAAAAGATGGACTACACACCGCCGGCCCCACCATCCACCGGCCGCTATCGGAGACTCGTCGCTAACCACCGAAACACTTCCTCCTCCACCGACGATCCCAACTGCGGCGAAAAGGCCGGAGGGCGAAGCTGCAAAAAGGGTCTCTGCTGCAGCCAGTGGGGATACTGCGGCAGCACGGATGATCACTGCGGGTACAAATGTCAACCTCGTTATGGCTCCTGTGGCCACGGTGACGACGGTAGCGAACCGCCGTCTCAAGCGCCTTGTTCGTGCGACGCGGCGGAGTATTCCGTATTGGATGAGTCATCAGCTGTCCTTGATCACGACGACGAAGGTAGCTGCGGCAAAGAGGGCGGCGGGGGGACGTGCCGCGACAATCTTTGTTGCAGTAAATATGGATATTGTGGAAGTAAGGTTCAATATTGTGGGGCCGGATGTCAGAGTGGTTACGGACGCTGCCATGGCGGCGGAGGCGGGGACACTCCTCCAGGCGGCGGGGGGCACACTCCTCCGCCTCGACACCGCACTCCTCCGCCTAGGCACCACAATCCGCCTCAGCACCACAGCCCTTCTCCGAGTTCTAGTGCTCCATCGCCCTGTACTTGTTAGTACGAGATGTTGATTGCGGAGGATGCGATGGTATAAAGGGTAACTACGCAGGGAAAGATCATATAGTCATTTTTATATTATGCATGCTAGCTGCTGAGGTTCAGGGACTAATGAAAAGGGAAAAGGATAGACATACCAGTACTTACTGTTATAATCCCCGGGTTTCTGTGAAGTAATATAGCATTTGGCTCTGTCTTACCGAATAAATAATATGAGTTGATGGAGATATGATATCAGGTATTTTTATTTTACTTTACAAACACCAAAATCAAAATCATTACAAGATACAGAGAGAGGACCGTCCTAACCACTAAATGAGCTACGTTATACATAATACTTTGATGTCCAACGTGAGTGCACCAACGTACCATATCATGATACACCACGAGCTCGACAATCAATAGATCCAATAGCCCTTCGTACACGATCCCCTTTCGCGTCACCACTTCACCCGACACATCCCAAATTACCGTATCACCCACCAAATGAAATCTGCTGCAAATTGCACCATCAAAGGGATAACTTGATATGATCCAACTTGGATCAGTCTACATGTTAGAGTTGCTGGATCAATAAGCAATTTCATTCATTAACAAGAACCCTGAAATTTATCTCTGTGTTGTTACAGTTTCAGGAAAGTCACTTAGAAGCCTCTCAAAACGCCATGTCAAAACAAGAATTTTTCCAGAAATTGGCCAAGTATGGAAGGCAGTTCGGGAAGCTCGCTTGGAAGGCTTATTCGAGAAATATGGCTGTGATTCGAGTGCTTGGGGTTACACCACATGAAAACATGTATCATTTGCTGCAGAGACGTGGGATTGGTTGATTAAAACTCTACCTTGAAGTCTTCGAACGAAGCTTTGCAAGACCATGTGAAGATTCGCCAAACTGACTTGCAAACCCAGCAATCCGAGTCCTTTGCGGATTAGGATTCTTTTCCCTTTTCCTATTTGCCTTTGAATTCTTAGTTTGGTCCTGTTTAGGACTTTCGTATCAAGTTGTTAGCTAGCCTAGGTCTATTTAAGGACGTTCCATTACATTGTAACAGGTAGAATCGATTAGTTGAATAAAACGTGAGTTTGTGGTTCATTAAGCTTTCGCTTCGTGGATTATTGAGTTGCTTGGTGGATTTCGAGCACCGTGAAAGCATGTATCGATCAATCAACACCTTGATCGTGGTCGAGCATCGTTCTATCTATTTCGAGCCTTTCCCCGTTGTGTGGAATTGCACGAGATCGACCATCCATAACCATCAAATTCATTCCCTGTTTGTTTGAGTTTGAGAATTGAGTTAAGCTCAATTCGTTGTTGCGTGACTCTGGTTATAAAGACCCTTTTAGGGCCTCATCATAACTCATATGTTCGAGACAAATTAGGATTCCCCGTATGAACCTATAACTCCCTCCGATGATCTACACTGCGGCCCCCACCCGTAGAACTCCTCCCCGATATGCTCAACCACTCCCCCATCTAAGCCCTCAACTGGCGTACTAACACATGAAACATCACCTATTTACACTCATATGCCACCCAATTCCTTATCCTCCAAATGCACTAGATAACACAAACCATCTTGACCACACGATGGTGAGAGGAATTGCGCCATCAGACATGGGATATGCCTAACTCCTTCTGATTGAATGCAGTTACCATTGACTTTGTAAACTCCTATATGCCCGCAGTGTCACTCCATGTTACAATCATGTCATCAACATACAAGAGAAGTGCGGTGTTACTATGGATTGTTTGTCGAGTGAACATAGACGAATCATTTTGATTCTGCACAAAGCCTAATTGTAGAATATTACCGTGGAACTTATCAAACCATGCATGTGGTAATTTGTTCAAACCATACAACGAACGTCGTAGTCTATAAACCATCCCAGGTGCTCCTTCTGTGTATCCTTCTGGACATTCCATGTATATTGTTTCCTTTAAGTCGTCGTGAAGATATTCTTCACATCAAAGTGAACAATTGACCATTTCTTCATTGCTACTACTGCCAACACACTGCAAACCGTCTGCATATTAGTTTCTATAGAGATTAATGAGAGTACTACAACAAATTTGGTCTATTATGACGAGGCAATTTTGTCATATTAGAGGCCCATTTTGTCACATTCGGTATCCTATGACCAAAGGTGTTGTCATTTTATCGCCGTCAGGTTAGGTCAAATGTGACAAAAATTTAAAACAAAGTTGTCACATTTGCTTTTAGTATAGCTGATAGGGTTGAAAACGGTCTGATCCGGTTAAATTGGACCAAATTAACCCGATTTTTTAAAACCGTTTTAACCAATAACACAATCGGAGACGGGATTGGATGGTATCCGGTTTTGGCCAAGACCGGATTGATCCGATCCTGTTTCAACCCCAAACCCGGTACTGACTTTTTCCTCTCAAACGCTGTTGTTTTGCTCTGCCAAATCGGCAAACAGAAGAAGAAAAAAACCATCAACCTTCCCGACTTTCCCCTTCCTGACTTTCTCCGCGCAATCGAGGAGGTACACCATGAGCTCCACGTCCTTGGCTTCTTCTTGTTCGTCGGCGGATGTTCTGGCCGCCTTCGACGATGCCATCGCTAACGGGGTCGACGTCATAACCATCTCAATTGGGACGAGGTCCCCTGTTGACCTCGACAGAGACACCATCGCCATTGGCGGCTTCCATGCGACCAAGAGAGGGATCTTGACGGTCCATTCGGCCGGAAACGGCGGGCCGGATCCTGCCACCACGGGGAGCGTGGCTCCGTGGTTGCTCTCGGTTGCTGCCAGCACCATCGACCGGAAGTTCGAGTCCGAGGTTGTTCTCGACAACGGAAAGATTTTTACGGTAAACAAACACTTTTTTGCTGTTTAATTCTTTTCATTCTCAAAAAGGGTGATTGTTGATCTTGAAGGTTTTTGGGGCGGTACTTTTTGATTTCGAAAACAGGGGAGTTCGGTAAATGGATTCACGGAGAATGGGGAGGAACTTCCCTTGTTGTTGTAGTTGTACTCAATCAATGGAAAAATTGGATGCACTACAATCTGCCAACCGGGATGTTGTGACAGTAGATTGGTGAAATGCAAGATCTTGATTTGCAACTCCATCAACGGGCAGTTTTTGGCTCTTCAAGCTGGCGCTAAGGGAGTCGTCTTCCCTTACGCAGAGCTCGACACCGCCTCCGTCGTCTCGTTGCCGGCAGCTGGGATGGATCCCAAGAGATTCGATGCCATCGCCTCCTATCAGAACTCTACCAAGTAGATTCGTCGTTACTAGATCATCAACACCCACATTCTGAATCTGATTTCCCTTTTTCGTGTCATGACCACGACGTTTATGATTGTGCAGGAATCCAGTGGCAAAGATACTGAAAAGTGACACCGTGACGGACCCCGGAGCTCCGGCGGTTGCTTTCTTCTCTTCCAGAGGCCCGAATGTCATTGCGTACGCCATTCTCAAGGTACGTACACTACAATTGGGACTTTGCTCATGTCTGATTTCTAACAATTAAGGTAATAAATATACATACTCTGTTTTTCTTTCCTTTCCTTTCTCTAGCCGGATGTGAGTGCTCCTGGAGTAGATATATTGGCAGGGTGGTCTCCAGTAGCATCTCTCTCCGATGATCCGAACGACAAAAGACAGTACCATTTCAATGTATTATCGGGCACTTCTATGGCTTGCCCGCATGTTGTTGCCAGAGGATCGAAGGCCACAGAGTGGCAGAAGACGAAGACGACGATTGGAAGCCGTTCGATTCCGACGCGGCGCTGACGCTCCCGAAGACCCGAACAAGAGCGCGGTGGAGGAAGTGCCCCTTCAATTTGGCAATTATAATAATATTTTTATTTTTTTATGGTAAAAATGAGTTGGACATTAAAATAGATTAAATTATATTTTATTTATTATTTTTTAATTGCCACGTCACTAAGTTAACGGTCAATTTTGAGAGTTGACTGCCACATCAGCCAAACTTAACGGAGTTGGACGGAGAGTGACCAAACGTGAACGGTTTCATTAAACTGAAGTACCACCAATGGATTTAAATAATTCGAGTGACCAAACTTGAACGTTTTTTGTAATCTCAGTGACCAACCATGCAATTAACCCTTAAATTATGTATATTTTTTTATAACATGTATTTTTATTTATATAGTTGTGATATCAATTTTTATTAATTAATAAAAGGTGAAGGAAATAGTGAAACAGGTGCATCATGGGTACAAATGGCAATGAGCAGCTCCGGGGTAAGTTATCATGGGGCACGGGTCAGGGCAGGTCGACCTAATGGGTATGTAATTTATATGAAAAATATTAGAAATATTCGTTATTTTCACTAAAACAAGAAACAAACCATAATATGATAAAATGTAGTTAAAATTATTGGAGAAATTGAGGTTTCGCATATTTACAATTTTATCACAGTTAAAATATGATGTAATAAAAGGAAGATACTAAGTAATTTGACTAAGAATACATGCATTTTAGGGAAAAACGAGTCGAGAATAAGACGGTTCAGGGCAGGTCGGGTCAATGAGAGATACCCATGCCAGCCCAGCCCCTCTTACGCGGCAGCCCGAATCGATCCGGTCTTTTCTAGAATATAAGGACCAAAGATTAGATTGGATACAGTCCTGTCTTGATCCGGTCCGGTCCCAATTCGTTATTGATTTTATATTGAGCTTGTGGGAATTTGAGTGGCCTGAGGGGGGATTTGAGTGGTCTGAGGCCTGAAAGGATGTGGAGGTTAAATTTTGGGTGTTGGGCTCACTTATCCGGTCTTTATCCGGTTTTCGATCCGGTCCCGAACGATTTTTTATCTTAAATCTAGGCCCAAAGATGAGATTGTATTGTTTGCTATCTGGTCTCGGTCCGGCTTATACGGTCCGATTTCGGGTAAAACCAAAAAGCCCGAACCACCCCAACTTCAACCCTTGTGCAATAAAATCAATCAAGCCAAGCCTTATCACTTTTTCGCCGGCGACTAAATCTCCGATGATTTCTATGATTCCTATACATCCAGCAACCAGAACAAAACACTCACGTAGAGGCGACAATACCAGATCATTCGGCAACCCTACTCCCACATGCAGAACCATGACCGCTGGTTCTCTCTCCCAATCATCTGTCGCCACTCCTATTTTCCCCTCCGCGGGTTTCTTCTCTCCCACAATAACCAGCTAGGGATTCACATCAGAATATTGACAACGATTACGAAGTAGATCTGTCTGTATCTCTGGGATTTTTTGTCCGATTACTTTATGACATCAGATCGGCAGGAGAAAAGCTTGGTCAAGCAAAGAAGGGGATAAACAAGTCGGGCGATTTTCTCCCACCGATGTAAATATGGAAGGTGGTTGTTGCTAGTTAGATGATTGACCGAACACGAGAACACCAACACAACATGATTTTGATTTTGTTTTATTTTGTGTGTAAAGTTTATTTTTTTCCTTAAATATACTCATATGTAGGTATTATAAGGTTAAAAATAAAATATACGTATATATACAGTTATGACAAAATATAATCGTGTAATATGACGAACAATTCTCCCAAAATCACCAGATTATTACAACCGTAATGACAAAATATGTCGTCATAACATCTCTATTTGTCACAATATCTACACAGAACTTCAGCTATTAGGGCGGGAAAATAGTCTCGATTTTCCCGTCAAACCAGAAAACGTATTTCCATCAACCCAATCTAATTTGTGGTTGTGGTGTCCACTCAAAAAACCACGGTCCAATCCGGTTAAAACCGGGAAAATTGGATAGCCCAAAATGAACTACCAAGCCCATCAAATTTCTAGCCCACAACCCTGTCTTGCCAGCCCACAACGATTACAATTCTGCCTACCCACTTCTTGTCTCTATTGACAATTTCCAGTTACAGTTCCCTTCCAGTTCCAGAGTTCTCTTCTCAACTTCTCACTTCCCAACTCTAACTTGGCGACCAATGACAATGAAGCTCACCGTAGACTCGACGACAATTGTTAAGGCTTCCATCTCTCATCAATCGCCTCCTTGCTTGCTCGCCAGTCGCGCGATAGCGATTCACGACTCAAGAAAGCGCAACAGCCGGAGTCGCACATCATAGATTGGATCTCTCTTCAACTTTCACTTCCATTCCAGACTCCATGCATGGACTCTGTGTGTCTTGTCACTGAATCGAGAAGACGAATTAAGTCAGACGGAATAGAAGACTATATGCTCTGTTCATACCTGTTTCGTTTGAAATTAAGGTCGAGGATCAAAGATTCGCGGCGAGGTAATGGTGGTACAAGGAATAGCGGGAGAGAGGAAGGTGCATTAGGTGTTGGGTTGATCGGCGGCGGAAGGATGATGGATAAAGAACGAAGAAGAGTGGGGAGAGTACATCTATAAGGTATTCTCCCTGGTTGTTCTTGTGGCGAAGAGGAAGAGAAAAAAAGAAACAGAGAGGCGGCGATGTGCTTAGGGTCAGAAGAAGATGGTTGATGATTTTTTTCTTCCTCTGTTTGCCGATTTGGCAGAGGAAAACAACAGCGTTTGAGAGGAAAAAGTCAGTACCGGGTTTGGGGTTGAAACCGGATCGGATCAATCCGGTCTTGGCCAAAACCGGATACCATCCAAACCCATCTCCGATTGTGTTATTGGTTAAAATGGTTTTAAAAAATCGGGTTAATTTGGTCCAATTTCAGATTGTTTTCAACCCTATCAGCTATACTAAAAGCAAATGTGACAACTTTGTTTTAAATTTTTGTCACATTTGACCTAACCTGACGGCGATAAAATGACAACACCTTTGGTCATAGGATACCGAATGTGACAAAATGGGCCTCTAATATGACAAAATTGCCTCGTCATAATAGACCAAATTTGTTGTAGTACTCACATTAATCCCTATAGAAACTAATATGCAGACGGTTTGTAGTGTGTTGGCAGTAGTGGTAATGAAGAAATGGTCAATTGTTCACTTTGATGTGAAGAATATCTTCACGACGACTTAAAGGAAACAATATACATGGAATGTCCAGAAGGATACACAGAAGGAGCACCAGGGATGGTTTATAGACTACGACGTTCGTTGTATGGTTTGAACAAATTACCACATGCATGGTTTGATAAGTTCCACGGTAATATTCTACAATTAGGCTTTGTGCAGAGTCAAAATGATTCGTCTATGTTCACTCGACAAACAATCCATAGTAACACCGCACTTCTCTTGTATGTTGATGACATGATTGTAACATGGAGTGACACTGCGGGCATATAGGAGTTGACAAAGTCAATGGTAACTGCATTCAATCAGAAGGAGTTAGGCATATTCCATGTCTGATGGCGCAATTCCTCTCACCATCGTGTGGTCAAGGTGGTTTGTGTTATCTAGTGCATTTGGAGGATAAGGAATTGGGTGGCATATGAGTGTAAACAGGTGATGTTTCATGTGTTAGTACGCCAGTTGAGGGCTTAGATTGGGGAGTGGTTGAACTAATCGATTCTACCTGTTACAATGTAATGGAACGTCCTTAAATAGACCTAGGCTAGCTAACAACTTGATACGAAAGTGCTAAACAGGACCAAACTAAGAATTCAAAGGCAAATAGGAAAAGGGAAAAGAATCCTAATCCGCAAAGGACTCGGATTGCTGGGTTTGCAAGTCAGTTTGGCGAATCTTCACATGGTCTTGCAACGCTTTGTTCGAAGACTTCAAGGTAGAGTTTTAATCAACCAATCCCACGTCTCTGCAGCAAATGATACATGTTTTCATGTGGTGTAACCCCAAGCACTCGAATCACAGCCATATTTCTCGAATAAGCCTTCCAAGCGAGCTTCCCGAACTGCCTTCCATACTTGGCCAATTTCTGGCAAAATTCTTGTTTTGACATGGCGTTTTGAGAGGCTTCTAAGTGACTTTCCTGAAACTGTAACAACACAGAGATAAATTTCAGGGTTCTTGTTAATGAATGAAATTGCTTATTGATCCAGCAACTCTAACATGTAGACTGATCCAAGTTGGATCATATCAAGTTATCCCTTTGATGGTGCAATTTGCAGCAAATTTCATTTGGTGGGTGATACGGTAATTTGGGATGTGTCGGGTGAAGTGGTGACGCGAAAGGGGATCGTGTACGAAGGGCTATTGGATCTATTGATTGTCGAGCTCGTGGTGTATCATGATATGGTACGTTGGTGCACTCACGTTGGACATCAAAGTATTATGTATAACGTAGCTCATTTAGTGGTTAGGACGGTCCTCTCTCTGTATCTTGTAATGATTTTGATTTTGGTGTTTGTAAAGTAAAATAAAAATACCTGATATCATATCTCCATCAACTCATATTATTTATTCGGTAAGACAGAGCCAAATGCTATATTACTTCACAGAAACCCGGGGATTATAACAGTAAGTACTGGTATGTCTATCCTTTTCCCTTTTCACTGAACCTCAGCAGCTAGCATGCATAATATAAAAATG